GCGTGCGCAGTGAGGCAGGTCTCTTCCCATCTGCGGGAGCCAGAGAGGCTGCTCTGCACTGGGGGACATAAAAAAGAGAGAAAGGGGAAAACTGGGTGTTAGAGCTGGAGGAAGGCTAGCTGGGCGCTTCCAGGACTGTCCTCAATCTGTTCCTCAGAGGCACCATGCGTCCCTCCCGGGCACCTCTTTGAAACACTGAGGTGATGCTCTAGGCAGGGGCTTTGGAGCAGCAGGTCTCCTGCCCGCCCCGCCGTGCCCCACTTGGGAGGCTGCACACATGCAGGTGTCTGCCCGTGTTGGAGACCCGAGGGCTGTGCTCCGTTCCCCCCACCAAGAGCTCACTCCCTGCCCCACTGTAGCCTCCTCTCACCAGCCAACCCCAGGCTCATCCCCCGTCAGCCGGGTGCTCGGGCTGGGAAAGCACAGAGGGAATGGGGTGGGAGGATGGACTAACACCACTGGTGGCAGGGACTGGGTGGAGTGGGGGGAAGACGCTGGCATAGAGTCCATTTATCATGCACTTGAGGCACGCTCGACTTTAATAGCTCATGGAGCACTTTAAGAGATGCATTAGCACTGAATACTTGAGTGAGGAGGATGTGACAAGCTGTTAAGTGAGCATGAGCACGGCGCAGCGAGGCCGGCCACCCGCTCCTGGCTCGCACGTGCACCCTGGTGATTACTGGAGCGTCCTGCAAAGTGCCACATGAATTAATAAAAAGCAGCATCAGGCTCGGTGGAGGTGAGGCTGCTCATGCGTTAACCCCCTTGCTGCTCACCTTTGGTCCTTCTCCTCGGAGCTGGCAGAGCAGAGGGTGGGTTTGCCTGGGGTGTGGGAGCCCAGGACGCTCCCAGAGGTAGGGACGGGGAGTGGAAGGGCTTAGAGGTCAGTGGATTTGGGCACACTCCCTCCCTATAGTCAAATGAGGTCTTCTGTTCTGGTGTTTTGGGGCAGCTGGCTGCGTGCCACTGGAGCCAACGGTGCTGCCACTGACCCGGAGATGCCCAAACGGGTCACG